CCTCGGCAAAGCGAGCACTGCTGCAGCAGATGGTGGCACTCAGGTTAGTTCTATTTCATTCGCCGTTCATTACTTTTACACATGTACCTTGCATTTGCATTGTTTAAAGCGTTGGTGATTGAATATTGCAGGCCCTTTGTGGAGAGGATGGAGGCCGAGAGGGAGGCCGAGAGGGTCGAGAGGGAGAGGGAGAGGGCCCGGAGGGAGGCCGAGAGGGCGAGTGGGAGGTCCTGAGGGGGCCAGGAGGGCGCGGCCCGAAGCGCAGAGGATGCAGGACATGTTCTCATTCATGTCGAGCCTCGGCACCACTCTCCCGGGTGTGGTGGTGCCCCAGTCGCTGCTCGCTCCAGTTGTGCCTCCTACTCCTCTAACTCTAGGCACTCCGGTGAGTATATATATATGGTTGATCAAGTCCTTTAGCTTGTGTAGATACTAATGAATTCAATTCTCCTTTGTGCATCAACAGTCGTCGGGTTCGAACCCGACTCCTTCGCCTCAGCACACACACCCCGGCTGGACAGGTCCACCACCGCACGGAGGTGCCCCTTCAGGCTCCCATTGGGATTAGTGGCAGCAGGTGGTGCCCCTTCATGTTTCATTGACTTTTCTTGATCTAGGACTTGTGTTGGATGAAGACTTCTTAGATGTTGTCATGGATTTGCACATTGGATGTGCGTGTGATGGATTATGCAGGAGGATGTGCTTGTGATGGATGTTGGATGTGTTTGTGATGTATTATGGATGTATGTGATGAATTATGTATGCGTTTTGTGTGATGCTAAATGCCTGTGTGCTGTCTCATGTATTATATATGAGTTTTGCGTGTTTGCTTTCGAAGGAAAGCAACAAACAAAAAAAATAGCAAATTTTCCAGCTTTGCCGAGTGTCAACACTGGGCAAAGAAGTCTTTGCCGAGTGCCAGGGGTGTGGCACTCGGCAAAGCTGGGAAAAAATGCTGCAAAAACAGCCACTTCCCCAGTTTTGCCGAGTGCCACAGCCTGGCACTCGACAAAGAGGTCAATTTTGCCGAGTGTCAGGTACCACTCGGCAAAGACTATTTTTAAAAAGATTTTTTTTTTAAAAATGGTTTCTTTGCCGAGTGCTGAGCCCTGGCTCTTGGTAAAAATTTAAATTTTGCCGAGTGTCAGTCCCTAGGCACTCGGCAAAGCCGGCGTCAAATGTTGACGGCAGTTATTTTTTTGCCGAGTGCGGGCTTGGCACTCGGCAAAGACTTTGCCGAATGTCGATTTTTAGCACTCGGCAAAGAAATTTTTGTCAATAAAATTTTTGCTGAGAGACCTTTACCGAGTGTTTGGCTGGCTTTGCCGAGTGCCCCCAGCACTCGGCAAAGAGGGCGTCTGCAGTGGTGTCAGGCACTGGTGCTGCAGGAGGTACAGGTGCAACAGCAGATGCAGGCGCAAGGGAAGCAGTCTTCTGTTCACCATGAGTGTTGGTCTGTTATCTGGATTTGACAAAACAGACAATCATAAATCTCCTAGCAGAAAAGACGCAATAAAAAAATTCCACCTTGCACGAAAAGAAGTTATTGATGACGTGGTGACAATCGCCCTGTTTGTTTGAGCTGGTTTGACTTATAAGCCATGGCTGAAAGTACTGTTGGCTGTTTGGTATGAGAGAAAAATATTGTTCGTTGGTTTATAAGCCAGATACAAGCAAGCGAACAGGCTGAATCATAGAAAATTAGTGACAACCTTTGAAGCTAGTAAAAACTCCAATCGAAATTCGTAACACTGTGCGCTCATGTCAGATATCTGCATCCTCAGTTGACCTCCAATTGGACCACCTCACTACCTCAAACTTACCTTTGTAAAAACCTAACTCAACGAACGAAGAAGAATCCATCCCATCCCAACCACCCCGCCTCACAACAAAATAGGATTAAAAAAAACTATCAGGATAGTCGTAGAAACATCTCCAGTTTGAATAAAAAGACAGCAACGAAAAATATTTTATTTTGAATCATCACGCATAAGGACCTTTCAACAAACACCTTGAGTTAGTAGCTAGGAGACTGGACAGGCATTTCAACAAACACCTTGGGTTGAATCCTGGATAGACCCATTAATCCAAGATAACATCGGCATGTAAATCCACCAAACACCAGCAACGCATGTCATCGAGCACTAACAGGGCGACAGTTACTCACCAAATCAGTCTGAGGAGTTGGAGGATGGAGACGTCGCAGTCATGGTATAGCAAGCGAGCTCTGTCTCATCGTCGACCGGGCTCAGACCTCGTCGCACGCCAAGAGAAGGCCCAGTATGTTGCCACCACATCGCCGACCAGGATTAGGCAAGGAATTCCCCCAATGACAACATAAATTCCGAGGCCAAGGCGGAGGGAGGCGGACAGGGATGGTGCGGGTGCAGCAGTGGCCACGGCTGTGGGCGTCGGAGTCCAAGCAATCTGATTCGTTGGATTTGAGTGAGTAAGAGAAAGGAGAGATCAGAGTGGATCTCGTCCCTTCATTTCAAATATTGGCTGGCTTTGGGTGTATTTTTTGGGTGCACTTAGTAGAGTTCATGACCGTGGTGGAAAGGTTTTGGTGTGGCTTTAGAAAAATTTACATCGATGCATTATATGTGGTAGAGAGTAGAGATAGAGATATGTGGTAGAGATACACAATGACAAAATCATTTAGTTCACAAGTAGCAATGATCAAGTAATAAAGTAACAACAAAACCATTAAGAACCATCAATATAATAAGATATAATAACAGATGTACAACAACTATCAATGAATTCTCTCTCTAAATGCAAAAGGACAAAAGAAGAGCACAAGCTGCCGTGCATCAGAGACACAATTCTCTACATGTCGATTATATCAAGCCGGTCCATTTAACACACAAGCATCATCAAAGCATATGTTTAGTATGTGCTCTATGCCTTTATCACAGAATCAATAGCAAAATAAGTTCAGGAAACCATGATAGGATCCCAAAAGAGTTCTCTGAATGCCAAAAGCAATAGCAAAATTGTCATGGAAAAACAAAATTCAGCTTCATTACACGCTATCACAGACAACAACAAAAGTGAAATCCATGTGATTGCAAACAGAAGCAGAAATGCACAGATAGTTTTGTCCCAATGCTAATCAATCTTCTATTAAGGTTCTGGCAGCTCTTCTTTTACAGAGGGCTCATAAAGAGGGGTATTAGTAACAAAGTTGTAATTCTGGTGAATTTCTTACCAATTTCCCTTGTATTGCACCATCCACACGGACTATTTTGTTATTGCACATTGCTTTTCACAACAATTAGGAAGAAAGTCATGTCATTGGGGGCACAAAATGTAGGCAATACAAGTTTAAACGAGCAATGCGATCTTACATAAGATAATATCTATATGATTTATGAAGGATAAGAAATGAAAGCACCAAATTAAAATTCTTATTACCTTAGCATGGGGTAGGTCAATTTGGGTAACTAATCCATGTTTGCCCGCTTCGTTTACACTTGAACTAATATGATCTGCCCCTATTCTACGCAACCCTTGAATTATAAGTTATATGCCGTGCATGACCTCCACACCGTGTGGACCCAAATCTTTTGAGGCCCATCCGGAGGATCTCATAGCTTTATAATGCAAAATTTTGTGTTTGATTTTGTTTGGTGACGCACAGGAAATTAAACAATGTCCTAAAGGGTGTGTCAGAAGTTTTGGTACACTATTAAACATGTGATCAAGACAGAAATTGAGCCAACAAGTCGTCTAATTGAACTACATTTTCGTGTTTCATTCAGTAATTTTCAGCTTCATATCTTACAGACCAGATCGAGTTAAACCTCTTGAAACTTTCAATGCATGTATATGTCTGTTTTTTCCTTAAAGACAATTCAACCGAAAAGGTAATTTGGTCTTTGCCACAGCCATGAAAAACTGGTGATAAGTCAGTGTTGCGTCAGCCATGGAAAGTGACAACCCTAACTGGAAGCCAGCTAGTCTTTGTATGTTGGTGCACACTGCACACGTAATCCCGGCCCGTGACTCGTCGGTGCAAGAGATATATACAATATGTATGTGCTTATTAACGAACTTTTTTTTTGCCCTTCCTCTTGCCGCCGGGCCGGCTATAGTTTATTCACAAAACGAATTCCATTTGGTTTCTCTAGCAAATGTTTTCTTTGGAGGAGCGACTAGACTCCCGGCCTGTGCTGTATATATTATGATTATGGCTCTTGTTTTTACAAAAAAAAAAGGTGGCACTAAATTATTCTTCTATTTGAATGTGCTTTCACAAGGTCTAAGAGGGAGACTAACATGGAAGAGCGATTATTAGCCTCTCAAATCTCAATGAATGATTTAGTTTTGTATATACCAGTGTACCACCATGTACCTAATCTATCCACCAATGCTAATTCGGTGGCACATCACATGACAATCCCAAAAAAACGTCACACACAAGGCCAAGGCGCCACACGTTATAGATTAGTTGACTAGTGGCAGATAGATTGATAAACATATACTCCCTCTGGTTCTCTAAAGAAAGTCGTTTTGAGGTTGTCTTAACTAAAACATTTTAAACTTTGACTACAAATAACTTCTTTTGGGTTGAGTTTGAAAATATGAAAGTGATGCAAGTAGATTCATCTCAAAATGTAGTTTCATAAAAGTATATATTGACTATATTTTATAAATATTTTATAGCAAAAAGTAGCGGTCAAAGTCGTTTCTTAAAGACCGTGTCGATGTCCAAAACGACTTGCTTTATAAAACCGGAGGGAGTATAGTGGAAGCATTCAATTTCTAGCAGCCAGAGACTATTTCAATCACACGTACTACTGCTTGTCTCTCACACGTACGGCCTGAGCCTCACAACTCGTTCTGTCTATCGCATGCAAGCTCCACGTATATATCCTCACTATTGCGCCATTACGTACGCCACCTCGTTCCTTCTGCTACAGCTAGCTATAAAAGCAGAACATCTACCCTGGACAATGCGCACCTCACTCACTCATCCACTGCAAACGACACACAAGATGGCCTCCTCCTCTTCGTCCTTGCTCCTCCTTGCAGCGGCCCTGCTTGCGCTGGCCTCATGGCATCAGGCCATCGCCTACGATCCTAGCCCTCTCCAAGACTTCTGTGTTGCGGACAAGAACTCGCCTGGTATTGACGTATATTCATCCTGCTTAATTCGGTCAGTAAGATGGATGCTAAAAATAATGTATGTGTAACATATATATCGAAGCTACGATATATAGATCACGATCTGAAATTGTGGGTTCAATCGATATGCATCCACATATATTTCTGACGTAGAATATTGTTGTTAAGCTTTATAGTTTCTGACCAGCTTTAATTTTGTGCATATATATTTCTTGTGCGTGCATGGGTGCAGTGCATCACAATGGGTTTCCTTGCAAGGACCCAATGGCCGTCACCCCGGACGACTTCTTCAACCCAGCCATGATCATCGGCAAGCGCAGGGACACCAACAACAAGGTGGGATCCAACGTCACCAACATCAACGTCGAGAGCTTCCCAGGCCTCAACGCCCTAGGCATCTCGCTGGCGCGCATAGACTACGCGCCCCTGGGTGTGAACCCGCCCCATATACACCCCCACGCCACCGAGCTCCTCACCGTGCTCGAGGGCACCCTCTACCTTGGCTTCATCACGTCCAACCCCAACAGGCTCTTCTCCAAGGTGGTCAAGAAGGGTGACGTGTTCGTCTTCCCCAAGGCCATGATCCACTTCCAGATGAACCTAGACCATGAGACATTGGCGGACCTAGTGGGTGGTCAGGGTGGTCCACCGACCACCCTGCGGGTCACCCGTCCAACCATACATCTGATTCACTGAACCGAGCGACGACCTGACTGTGTGTTCCATAATTCCAGCCACGACCTGACGACCAACAACGCGGAAGGCGGCCCACTAATGAACGGGGACGGCTCGGTCGCGGGGGCGCGGGGCACATGGACTACGGCTCAGGCCACGTCCGGCCCAAGCATGCGCTGGACCCGGGCCTCGTCTACGAGTCTACGACACGTCGTACCAGCAGTCCAGGGCTCTTCGTGAATCGCATGCGCCGCCGCCCTACCAGCGGAATAGCTGATCATCGCCCGTCGCTTTGCCTGGCCAGGAGCCATGGACTGCCGCCATCGCCTGCAAGACTGATCGCCACTCGCCAATACTTCCTCAGTTCCCTAGGTGATACTCCACATCCATCCCCGTCCTTCCTCAGTTCCAGGTTTCTTCCGATCGTTAGTTTTGCTAATTGGCGAGTGTTTTTTCCAGAACTCTTGAGTCTTGAATTATGAAAAGAAACGGAGACATTCGATCCCTTTTTCAGAAAGCAGCAAAGAAGGAGGCTGCTATTGACCCACCTCCGGATGAAAATATTGTGGAAGAGCAGAATCAAGTTGAAGAAATTGCATATCATTTGCCCTCGCCCCCGCTAGCATCACCGCCACCGCCCGCATCAAAGCCGCCGACGTATGACATCAATCGCCTACCATATGATCCAGGTGAAAGGCTGCCCATTGAAGATTATCCTGTTAATGATCAAGATGCAATCCGTAGAGCATATATTACTAAAGGTGCTTGCAAACCTTATATACATGATTTTCCATACCAAAACATTGGAGGTGTACCTCATCGATTCAGTATACAATGGTTGTATAATTATGAGTGGCTCGAATATAGTGTCAAGAAGGATTCTGCATTTTGCTTCATATGCTACTTGTTCAAGAAGGGCAATGGGTCAAAAACTTTTATTGTTGATGGATGGAATAATTGGAATATAGGAAACACAGCACTTCTCAAGCATTCTAGTTCTAGGGCACATAAAGCAGCTCAAGAGAGGTACATTGGTTTTATGAATCCCAAGGTAGCAATTGATTATAACATTGACAAGTGGAGTGAGGAGGAGCTTCGTCTTTACAAGAAAAGATTGACATATTCACTTAGATGTATCAAGTTTCTTTTGTATCAAGGATTGGCATTCCGTGGACATGATGAAAGTGAAGAGTCTAGCAATAGAGGCAACTTCATTGAACTTTTAAAGTTTCTTGCAGGAAATAGTGAAGAAGTGAACAAGTATGTCTTGAACAATGCACCAGGTAATTGCACTTTGACTAGCCCAAAGATACAAAAGCAAATTATTCACTGTTGTGCCATAGAAACTAGAAAGAAAATAATTGAGGAACTTGGTGATGAGCCCTATGCAATTTTAGCTGATGAGTCTAGTGATATATCACATAAAGAACAACTAGCTCTTTGCTTGCGTTATGTTGATAAACTTGGAAGGCCATGTGAGCACTTTATTGGAGTTGTTCATGTAGATGATACTACCTCTTTGTCACTTAAGAAAGCAATTGAAGTTTTACTTGCTAGTAATGGATTGAGTATGCAGCAGATTAGAGGTCAAGGTTATGATGGGGCTAGCAATATGAAAGGAGATATTAAAGGGCTCAAAACTTTAATCATGCAAGAATCACCTTCCGCTTATTATATTCATTGCTTTGCACATCAACTCCAACTAGTTCTTGTTGCTGTTGCCAAAGGAAATACTAACTGCAAGACTTTTTTTGATCAAGTATCTATCTTGTTGAACATTGTTGGGGTTTCTTGCAAGCGTCATGATATGCTTCGAAATGCTAGGCTTGAGAATGTCAAGAAAGCACTAGAGTGTGGTGAGCTTGAATCAGGGAGTGGATTAAATCAAGAGATGGGTTTGCCTAGGCCTGGTGACACTCGGTGGGGCTCTCATTACAAAACTATATGTAGCATCATCACTATATATTCCTCAATTCATGATGTGCTCATTGAACTTGGTGCTGATAATGCATATAAGGAAGATTGGACAAAGATACATTTTGTGCTTAGAGCATTTGAAACCTTTGAGTTTGTTTTCTTTGTGCACTTAATGTATGTTATTCTTGGATATACAAATGAGTTATCCGAGTGCTTGCAGAGAAGGGATCAAGATATTCTTAATGCAATCTCACTTGTTAATGTGGCAAAGAGTAGAATGCAGGAGTTGAGGTCTAATGGTTGGGATAATTTTCTTCAGAAGGTCACTTCTTTTTGTATTAAACATGGTGTTGAAGTTTCTGCTATGGATGGTGCTTATGTGCCTTATGGAAAATCAGCACGGTATGCTCGTGCCCGAAACCAAACAAATGATGACCATTTCCGAAGAGAAGTATACATTGGTGTCATTGATCAAATTAGTCAAGAGCTTGATAATCGGTTTGATGAGATCAATATGGAGCTACTCTCTTGTATGTCAGCCTTCAGTCCTTCCAACTCCTTTGCTTCTTTTGATGCACGGAAGGTACGTATATTGGCTGAATTTTATCCTAAGGACTTCTCCAACAATGATTTGTTAAAACTTGAATTGCAACTTGATAATTATATTGATGACATGCGACAAGATGCTAGTTTCCAAGGTCTAGACAACATTGTTGATCTCTCAGTTAAGCTTGTTGAAACAAAGAGGCACAAAGTGTATGATATGGTGTACTTGCTTCTCAAATTGATATTGCTTTTACCAGTGGCAACTGCGAGTGTTGAAAGGGTATTTTCTGCATTGGTTATAGTGAAAACAAAGTCAAGGAATAAGATAGCTGATATTGTTTTGGATGATTGTCTAGTCACATTTATTGAGCGGGATATTTTCTTCCAAGTTAATGAAGATGATATAATGGAGACATTCATGTCATTGAGAAAGCGGCGGATAAACAAGTAATATTGTAAGTCTCATATTGTTATATTTCGAAGTATTTGTATTTCATTTGAACAATTTATATTAAGATTTGACGTCGTTTTACCGAATTATAATATGGTTTTACCGAATTATAAATGGTTTACCGAATTGTATAAAAAATTTTTTTGCGGCGCATACTCTATGCAAAAATCCTGGGTCCACCACTGCCCTGAGAAGCCAGCGGCTGCCTGTCATCGCTCAGCAGCCAAAACCCTGGTGTTATTACGATCGCCAGCGCGGTGTTTGGATCCAAGCCGCCGAACTCGGATGATGTTTTGGCCAAGGCGTTCCAGGTGGAAAAGAAACTCATAGATTGGCTCCGGTCTCAGTTCTGGGATACCAACTACTAGTGCTTATATATGTTGCACACACAAGCGTTACGTACATGTGCACCTTATATATGTATTGAATAAATGGCATGTGGAGGAGTAATACTTATTATTATGCGTGCGTGCGAGCTGCCAGTGGTATGTTTGATTGCATTGTCACTATCTAATATAGGAAATAAGAGTTCATTGAAAATCTAATTAATGATTGGGCATTATTCATGGTATTTCTATACTTGGATGTACATGTACGCGAAGTTCCATTTCTGCCGCCTGACAAATTAAACTGAACCAACAGGAGCAAATTAATTAACTATTTTAGTGTTGATAAAAAATAATCATTTAGTTTGTACCCAGTACAAAATAAAGAGATTTTTTCTTTGATGAAGGATTAAGCATCACGGGACAGCTGGAACAAAGGGAGGGACTTCTAAAATTTGGGTGGCTGAATTTTAGTTTCTTTCGGGCGACGATTATTGCAAATATTTTATATTCAGCTTTAGTCTATTATAATCTACTACAGCTAAATAGAAAACCCCCACTAGCTGATTTCTCTACGATTTCGTGAAGCCACGCGTCATCCGAGAGGCCCACAACCACGAGTAACTAAGCAGATGGCCCTCCCACTACTACAGATTCGACATTCAATGCCGGTACCATTAGTGCCGGTTTCACTATACCACAGTCCAAAGTAGCGTCGAACAAAGGGTCGGTAAAAATATCAAAATACCGTTGGATGGTTGGTCGGTATAGATTAGTAACATACAGTTGGTCGCTATATCCTATGTTTTCGTCAGACGGTCGGTCGGTATTTTTAGTTTGGTTTACCGTTAGACGGTGGGTCGGTAAATCTAATTATTTGGGTCCACCGGTCCGTCGGTATATTGGATTGGGCCTGTGCGCGCATGCTCAGCCCATTTCGCGCCTAAAATTTAGTGGACCCTAAAATTAGCGGATCCCACCTGTCATACCACATCCTCACTCTGTTTTTGGAAAAAAACCTAGTGGCTGTCCAAATTTCCCTCCGTGCCGCCACACTCCCGCATGCGAGCGCGACCCAGATCGAG